AGAATGTGCTATCCAATGTCCTGTTGATTACAATGTGCTTTTTTTGTTGTACCCCTACACTGTTTTATTACGATTCTCCAAGAATTTACGATGATTGAAATGTAGAAACTTGATTTTCTGTGGGGCGGAACCGCGAGAGTCAAGTGGAGTCGGAAAATGAAACGGTACCGAAACGTTTTCCTCTTCGTTTATTATGGGTTGGAAGGAAATGTCAAGTCCTGTCATTCAACGTTTTCCTTGCTTCACAGATGGCTGGGGACCTCTCAAACGTACCCGAACTCAAAGAATATTTGAAAACAACGCCATTTGCGGGGGATGATATCCAGGTTTTATCAGGAGGGACTGGAAACTTTGCTTGCCGTGTCAAGCTGAGCTCTCCCCACAAAGGTGCCTCGACAGCCGTAGTGAAGCATGCGAAACCGTACATCTTTTCTACGCGCGATACAGATAGATATCCGTTTGCATTAGAAAGACAGGTAAGCTTGTCCCATGTTTCTGACGAACTTTCGTCCTGAGCTCTTCTTAGAGATTTGAAGTAGAGGCGCTCAAGCTCGTCCGATCATGGCTATCTTCAGACTCTTTCGTTACTGTCCCAGAGGTTTACCTCTTTGATGAGAAGGAAAATGTCATCATCATGGAAGATTCTGGTCAGAATACTGTATCGCTCAAGGAATTTATCATGCAAGGCAGGTGCTCGCTAGACGTTGCTACAAGGATAGGAGATGCCTTGGGAAATTTTCTTGGTCAACTTCACGTCCGGGGCAGCGAACATATCTCCCAGGTTCTACAATTATTTAGCTCGAACCAGCAGGCGAAACAGATTTCTGGCTGGGCTACTTATGGTCGTCTAGTCTCTACTCTCAAGGGCGAGGACAATCTAGATGCGTTGTCTGGTGCTCCTCTCAATGTCCCAGAAGATAAACTAGAGATTATACGGGATGTTGGTCAGAGAACACAGCAGATTATGATGGAGGCTGAAGAGAGTGTAAGTTATAGTTTCGTCCTACAACTTGGAGCTCATCAACTCGCAGTTTCTCATGGGCGATTTCTGGACAGGAAATATCCTGCTTCAGCTAGACCAAACTGATGTCGTGAAACGCATCTATGTCATTGACTGGGAGTTGGCAAAGCCAGGGCTCTGCGGATGGGATCTAGGTCAACTTTTGGCAGAACTAGACCTTCTTCGGCGCTTTCATCCTTCCCAGAAGGAAGTAGCATCCAATGCAATCTCGTCGTTCTATCATTCGTACTCTCAAGTGCACCCGAGCGACCTTGAGTTGTATAGAACTGCATTGACACATTGGGGTAATCACCTTGTTGTCTGGACACCGCGAGTTCCATGGGGAGATAAAGAGACAACCCGACAGACTGTATTATCTGGGGTAGAAATAATTGTTGAAGGGCAGAATGCTGAAGCAGAAACCATATATAAACGATTCCAGTGAAAACTGTAGTTTAGAGTAGGGATGAATGTGAAAGAGATCTATTTACAGTCTGTAGACGCTTTGTTTCGGTGACGCTGATCCGAACTTGAACACTACGATCACGCGCCTCAGTGCTCCTGCAACTTCTCGAGCATGGACCCAAGTCCTACCGAGCTGTACTTGCCGTCTTCATTTCCATATCCTATCAAGGTCGTATCTATCGACGCCAGTACTTCCTCAGAAATCGAGCGTGGAACCCGTCTTCTCAGCTATTCGTTTGTGTACCTATCGCGTACGGCCGGTGCTCAGCCCGAAACCCGTTTTGGTACCTGGGATTCTGCTATTGAAGGCACTCTCCAATCCTGGAATGTCAGCGTCGGAGACGTCATTTCTCAGCGTAAGGCAAAGGAGAAGCCAGTAGGCATTGTCATCGAACCGTGCAAACATGGTATGCAATTGGGAGGGCTATGTGTATTGTGCGGAAAGGACATGACAAAGTACGTGGTCAGTTCATAGGTCGAGATACAGACACTGAGTATGTCTCATAGCACTGATTATATCGGGTTCTCGGATGCATCTCGAGCCTCTATCCAAATGACACATTCGGCTAATGGACCTACTGTTTCCCTTGAAGAAGCTCAGCGGATCGAAAAGGAAACTGCTGAGCATCTACTCAAGTCTCGGAAATTATCTCTTATTGTCGATCTTGATCAGACCATTGTCCATGCTACCGTAGATCCAACTGTGGGCGAATGGATTGCGGAAGGTGAAGCTTGGGAGGCAAAACGTGCTGCTAAAGCCTCTAGCGCAGAAGGAACTGAAGCGGATGATGAAGACGAGTGTAATCCGAATTGGGAGGCTCTCAAGGATGTCAAAAAGTTTAGATTAGGACCCGAATCTTTCGGGACCGTTCCACGAGGAAAGGGCAAGGCAGCAAATAAGGGTGTAGAAAGTGAAGGCTGTATGTATTACATCAAGCCTAGGTGCGTCAATACCATGTTGATCTACTAGCTTGTCACTCATCTCCGCAAAGGCCGGGCTGGAAAGAGTTTCTGAAAGAGGTTTCAACAAAATACGAGATGCATGTTTATACAATGGGGACTCGCGCATATGCAGAGGAAGTTTGTGCTGCTATAGATCCAGATGGGACGGCATTTAGTGGCCGTTTATTGAGCAGAGATGAGAGCGGCAGTAGGTCACTCGTCCTAATTCTATTTGAATCGAGTTTGATGTGGTTTTCAGGTTTAACGCAGAAGAGTTTACAACGGTTGTTCCCATGCGATACCTCAATGGTTGTTATAATAGATGACCGTGCTGATGTTTGGGAGTGGAGTCCCAATCTGGTCAAAGTGATACCCTGTTCGTCATACATTTCTCTCATTAAACAGAGTGTGATTAAGGTTTCTTTTACAGATGATTTCTTTGTGGGTATTGGTGATATCAACTCTACATTTTTACCAAAAATCGAGCCATTAACTGCTTCCACACCACCTCCTTCAACACCCAGTAAGGACTTGATTTCTCTCAATATCCGCGATCTTGACCTTGGGACTTGTACAGCAACATCTTCATCCGATTCTTCGTCATCTTTAGCTGTTCCATCTGGAGATGTTGAGCGCACTCAGCTTGAAGCAAATGCAAAGTTGACTGAAAACTCGCTAGCTTTGGAAGCTCAAGTAGAGGCACGACCTCTAGCTAAGAAGCAAGAAGAGCTTCAAGGCGCTCCAGCTGCGGAGAACTCCTCAAATCCCGACGAAACTCCCGTTAAACAAGATGACCAGCTCCCTGCTGCGACAAAAGAAAAGGAAGAGGCCAAGTCAACGACTCCGACGAAGACACCGCGAAAGGCATTGCTAAGGAATGACGATGCAGAATTGGATCGTGTTTACAAGGTTTGTATTTCTGAAAATGGACAGACTCGAGAGGCGCTGACATTTCAATAGCTGTTGAGTGATATCCATCAACAATTTTTCGAAGTATACGATGCCCACTCTTCTCAACCTGATTCCAAAGTTCGCAAAAAGAACAAGGGACTCGAGAAAAACCCTTGGGATGTTACCGTGGGTTTGACCCCGCTTTTCATTTAAATCAATCTCATTCCACGAACAGCGCATTATCCCTTCCATTCGTTCAGAGGTATTTAAAGGTGTAAATCTTCTATTTTCCAGTGTTATACCATTAGACACAAGACCAGAAAGCACTGAAATCTGGCGGATGGCAGTCATGTTCGGCGCGAAATGCTCAGTGGAGCTGGCTTCTGATATCACCCATGTCGTTGCCGCCAAAGTCGGTATCATTTTCTATTATTAGCTAGTATCTGATTTATTTGAACTTTTTTTCACAGCGAGGAACAGTTAAAGTTGACATGGCCCGAAAGCGCGGTGGCATCAAAATAGTTTGGCTAGCTTGGTTCACAGACTCTGTCGCTCTCTGGCAGCGTCAAGACGAGACGCCATACCTACTCGACGATCCTCCGGCTGCCGGACCGAGTACTAGTCCCCTGAGTTTTCAGCAAATGTCTTCCGATCCAGAATTAGATGAAGAAGAGGAATGGGAACTGGAAGCTGCATCTGGACCCGGGCCTGGAAGTGCTACTACGGCATCTACGGCTTTCGAAGCCAGTCAGATCAACTGGGACGATATTAACGATGAAGTAGAGGCTGCAATGATGGAGAGTGACGATGATGACGATGATGATATGAGCGAGGTCAATATCGGGGGCCGGAACGGGAGTACAGAAATACAAAGCGCTAATGCTTCCGAGGACGAGTGGACAGATGAGTCGAATAGTGTGATTAGGTGAGATGACTGTCTATCATTCTTGTAGACTACTAACTCTTTTTACAGTAGCGCCAACAACACACCAAAGAAAAAACGGAAGCGCTTACGCAGTCTGACGCCTTCAGAAGCAGGGATAAATGGTGGGGATAACGATACCCTTCGATCACCTCTATCTAAGCGGAAGAAACTTGCTGCTGATCGTTCAGGTTATTCCAAGCTGAAAGAGGCGATAAGCGCCGAGGATATGCGTTCTGACGCTGGTTCTGTCAAAGCCCAGAGCGACGACGGGAGTAGTGACGAGAGAGCTACACCCACAAAAGCGACGAAAGAGAACAATAATGATGAAGGAGACGATGAAGAGGGTGAAGAAGGTGAGGCAGATGACGACGACTTTCTGGCCAGAGAAATGGAGGAGGAATGGGGATAGCGAGGGCATGCTCTTCTGGATCTCTGGATTGGTTTTGCCTGTGCTAGGCCTTGTTTAGTCTGCTAAGCTACTCTTTTATAGTGATAAAGTGGTGTATAATTATATGGGGTTTCTCTATTCATTTGCTGCTGATTCCACGTTTTGTTTTTCATTCTCGTTGTCTGTAGCTACTTAGTGCTGGGTTTGTACTGGATTTGCCTTTAGTACCTACGCGTTCGAGGAAATTTCTACTGTATTAGTATCTACTTGTCGGCTTATAATACTACACAACCAATGCATACAAAATCATCGATAGAAAACGTTCAATTCCAAGTCTCAGGGGAGAGGAATCGCATTGTGGAACAGCAGCGAAAAAAAAAATATTTAGTAGCCCACCGCGAGGGTCGAACTCGCAGCCTTCAGATTCACCGCCCAAGAGACCGTAAAAGTCTGACGCTCTATCCGATTGAGCTAGGCGGGCTCGATGTTTCATGATCTTTTTGCGCCGAAGATCTCAGTTCATAGGCCGAGGTTGTGAAGGCAGCTCAAATATTTAATCTACCAACCTTTGCTAAGTAGCATACGTCACTTCCGATATATTGCGTCTATCATTCCAACACTCTAGAATGCGGGGAAATAGACTCGGGTGAGCCGGGAACGATGTCGGAACAGAGTGACATTACTGGAGGAATTCGGAACGTCATTCTGAGATATAGATAAGTAGTGCGTCTGTTATCTTCGCACACGACTCCATTACTGACTGGTAGCAAAATGTCAACGCAGACAAGTTGCACCATTCTCCAACCCCGGCCATATGCGAGCTGCTCTGGAAGGCTACTACTTCTACCGCTGCTAAGTTCCAAGCGAACGTTTGACCTTCCGACCGAGCTCTGGGTTCGCGTATTTGAACTAGGTGCCGGGGGAAAACAAGGAACCAAGTTTCTGTGGGTTCTACTGACCGTATCAAAGAGATTCAAGGTATACCTGTTCTCGGTTTCCTGCATCTGACTGAAGATACCTCATCAGGACATTGCTCTTCCTTTATTCTATTCCTCGATTCATATTTCTTCTCTACCAAACCTCTCCTCCTTCTGGAAACACCTCCATATTGCCGACACAAAATGGGACTCTATACGACGAAGTCCATACTCTGCTCCTGGCCGCTGGGTTCAAGAACTTGACCTACGCGGTTTACAATTTACTAGTCAGCCGGCTGCGTTGGAATTCGACGGGATACTCACAAGTTTATTCCCATTAATACCGTTCTTGTCCTCGTTAAGAATAAACCCATCGTTTTTACTGAGTAGGCGAGCTATCGACGCGTTAGTCGAGTCGGCCGTGGGGGGCACCGGCGTTCTAATGCTGAGGAAATTGGAAGGTCTTTCTTATGTTCCTCAAATACAAGCCGCTCAGTATCTATTTGGTGGTATACCAGAGGGTCATTCCGAAGAACCTCTTGTACGTCTACTGCGATATTGTCCTTACCTCGAAGAGCTAGAGGTCATTGGCCGGGGGCTCGACCCTATGGAACTTGACTTTCTCAACTCTACCATTCCTGATGTGTCAAATGACCTAGACTCTAATGTCCCAGGAATAGCGCCACTCCATCTTCCTGCTTTACAAAACCTAACACTTCTTTCACATCTACACTCATCTTCTCTCATCCTGACGCTTCTTCTCACACCGCTTCCTTCCCTAAAGAAATTAACCATAACCCCATACGACGACGTTCCTTTCCCTTATTCGCTCAGCTCCCAGTTCATCCTCGTTCACGGCTCAAATCTATCAACATTATCCCTGCTCACTCCAAACTCGAATGAATGGCCTCGCAGAGTTCATAAAAGCCCGAATCTCCGAACGATCTTGGGGGCATGTCCCCAACTGAGACATCTGGGGCTGGAAAATCCACTACCGGAGGTCGAGATGCCACCTCTTGAAACCCAAAATCAAACGCACCCTCTGGAAATACTCTCCTTACCACGTCCTTCCCCTACTTCCTACACCATCTTGACCATGGTTCTTCCAATACTGCCAAATCTTTGTGCCGTTCGAGCTCGAGACGTTCGGTGGCTACGCAAAGGTATGGGTTTGCGTGCGATGGAGGCTGGTGTACAAGGCGAGATGAGAGAATGGAGGAGGAAATTGGCTAGGAGGGGGATTAGGGTCGTTGATGGGGAGTGGAAAGATGCAGAGGAATGATGCGCGCTTATTGCATATCTGGCACATACTTGCTTGCTTATTTTCTGTACTTGTCTCGTAATTATACGACTAGTCTGGTTTGCGGATGTACCAGCAGCGCGGAAATAAAGAATGATTCGGTTCGAAAATGATGTGTTCTTCAGAACCTCTTCAATCAGGGCTTTCTGCTTCCTCTACTGATAAACGAAGAAATCGGTCGCATTCGGATTACATTTTCCGACTCGCTCCCATCACCGATTATCTTGGTTTCTTTCGGGGTATAAAATTTTTGAACATGTCCTCATTTTGTTCAGAGGAATTCAGACTTTTAGTGGTACTTTTAGCTATCTAATGCAATTCTTACACATGTCAAAAATCCTCTGAATGTTTTTAGCTTTCCTTCTTATATTCAAAATCCGAGGTTGAAATTTATGGACAGAAAGTGTGTAATAACGACAGAGTTTCGGCAATGTCGGCACACGAGAGAAATAGTGCTAGAGTCGACCAGAATGACAGGGTTTAAGCAACGTAGTATTCCAGTAGACTAGAGAATACGCTACTAAATAGTACAGTATTTATACGAGTCCGGTAAGTAAAGTAATAGGCTAAATGGTAAGTAGAACGAAGTGAGTCAAAGGAGAGACCTCTTGGTAGAGGTCAGCGGATAAGAGAGAACAAAAGAAATGGGGCACGAAAGATAGACATATTGGAGAAGTAAGTGATAGAAATGGAGAGAGGTGGATACGGGGTCAACGTCCTTGACACCGGGGGTGAAAAGAGGTGTGGATGAGGAATAGGGGGGATAATAGTCCGAAAAAGGTAAGTGTATCGCGTGGTTGGCCACGCATCCGTTACAATTACTAACAAGTACATGACGCTGGTATAGTACAGTATTATACAGAACGACCAGCCCGATCAATAAATAGTACCAAAGAAAGAAAGAAACAAGGCTTCACAAGCCCTTTTAAATCCCGAGATCAGCCAACATTTGATACAATGAACCATTCATCGATGCTCAAGACTCATCAGGGCTGGTCTAATGGCACAAGAACGCGCGAGTTCATGGCAATGTATCATGTCATGCTGTGGCGGGAATCAAAAAAATGCTAGTGAAATGGAAAAGAGACCGTAGTATGTTGATGTTGATTTTATAGGTGGTAACTTCCACCTTTTCTTCTTCCGGGGTGAAGCAGAAAGTAGCTGGTACAGTCGGTGAACCCGCTTTAGATCAGATTCAGACGCCATAAGAACACCTTCATTGTGGTTGAGGTGTTTCAGACGCATAGTGTAGGATTGCTGTACGATTGTGTCAAGCTGTGGTATCTTGGAGCGCAATCTAATACACGGAAAGAGGAGGCTATCAGTACTTGACCCGGCCACCAACAAGGATTCACATACCCGGACAGATCAATAGTAATTTGAGGGTTGGACAAAAGAGCGTTAATGGTCACGGTGAGTTCTTCTTTGAGTTCTCGAGCTCTTATCTTGGACGATTTCACCCGCTAAAAGGAATTAACATGGGTGTGGTTTTATAGACGACAATAGCAATAAATACCTTTGTAATGTTCGAGCATGCCAGAATCCCTCCGACAGCGCTTTTCAACGGAGGAAATGCATCCGCAGACTGATCAAGTGCTCGTAAAACTGTAGTTAAGACATCTGCAAACGTTGAGAAGAAACGTTTGACTTTAGACCGAGTAAGAGCCTGGGACTTGTTGCCCATAACGAAACTAGAGTGCGCAGTGTCCAGTTGTCGTTTGAGATCCTTCAAGTCCACGCATGTACTCCGAGGAGTCAAGCAGTTGTGGATGTCAGTGAACAATCTGGGATAAAGTAAGATTAGTATTTGGTTCTATTGGAGGTAATAGCGAACAGACATGGTAAGAGCCGTTAGTTTCTCGCATATTTCAGCTTGCGAAAAATCGAGATTTTCATCGGCGACTGCGTCCAAAATTTCTAAGGAACGGTGGTAGATTTCTTGACGTTCTTGAATGTCAGAATACTAAATGTATATAGATGAGAGATTTTAGTATCGACGGTATCACATAGTGTAGTACTAGACTTACACCGGCGCTTTGCCGCAATACATTGACACTATCTACCAGACCTTTCAGATGAGGAAAAGGCTCTGCGGACTCGAGCAACGAATCGGCGATGGGTGGTGGCGATTGCGAACTACCTGAACGGTGAAAGCTTGTACGGCGTAGGGACTTGAGCTTCTTTAGTACTTTGAGGGTATATTTGATGGGCTACGGCCGAGATATTAAATGATAGTTTCAGTGTTTGAGAGAAGCAGACCCACCAGTAAGACCCTCTTGGGTTTGGTCCGACGTCGCACCCTACCATCGTCGTCTTTGAAAGACGGCGACGACATGAAGAGGCAGGGTATCAAAGGCAGATAACAGCCAAGAGATGAAAATTAACTAGAGCTGCTAGCGCCTTTTATACAGAGTTAAACGCCCACAAGGCACGCGGCCAACATGTGGGTTGCACTAACCTCAGAACATATACGCACATGAGCCTCAAAGAATAGACAAAGCTGTCATTACACAGCCCAAACCCTGAAAAAGAGGCATAGTAAGCTCTGGTAGAGAAGCTGTTAGATTATCGATGGGATAAGCTTCTCTACCACTGATTTTGTACTTGAACCTATACGCTTTTCACCTTTGCGGGGTGCTGTTGCGCCACATCATGAGACAGTGCCTTGCTTCATCAAACGAAGTTCTGCGGACAGAAAGGCTGTAGTACCCCAATAACGACATTACAAATATATTATAGTGATCATCTGTTCATGAAGTTTGCAGGTTAGTACACATTTGCGTTATGCTCACTGATTTGACTTACATAGTTCCTTCTACCTGACAGTAATCAAAGGATATCTCCAATCTCTTCAACGAACTTCTCATAATCATCCTTCTTTTTCTCCTTCTCTTTAGGTACCTCTTCAACTTTCGCCTTTTTATTCGCAGGCACTGGCGCAGTAAACGGAAACTGCCCCCTCAATGTCCCCAACAGATCCGGTTTCTTCATTCCACTTGCACTTGTCGCACTCTCACCTTCAACTTCTCCACCGCCACTTGTTCCTTCTCCCGAATCACCCGTCTCTGGTGCAGCATTGACTCTTCCCAATCCTCCCCCACTTCCTCCAGATCCAGAAGAACCAGCTCCGCCAGCCCTCTTCCTCTTTGCAGCAATCTTCGAAGGCACAAACGCCGTAGCTTCTTTCTTGAAATCTCGTAACTCTGGTTCTGCTGATATGGTCGCGTTTGCTGCTAAGATCGAAGGACCAGCGGATGTCGAAGT